ACGAAGAGCTCAAAACAGACAGAAAAGCGTAGATCTTTGAAGGGGGTACCATATATATATATATATGTATATCTATATCTATATCTATATCTATCTATCTATATCTATCTATCTATCTATCTATCTATCTATCTTTCTATCTATCTATCTATCTATCTATCTATCTATTATTATTATTATTTCAAGTATAATTATAAAAAAATGCCGTGGTTTTCTCCTGTGCCGAAGAAGTCCTGGTGTCGTCCCCTCCATGTGATTCGGGTCGTGGGTTCTGTTCCGGCACGAATCGTGTCCGACCCTCGGGATATCACTCTTTCTCTCGGCGACTATGAAGCAACATCGGAGAGCAGGAACGTTTGCAGCTTTTGCCAGTGGCCTCTTCACCAATTACAAAAGGGATGGACCCCTGTTTTGCGTTTGGCTCCCACATACACCACCGCTGACACACCGACCTTGCTACTACGTCCACGAGTATCACAGGTTTACTTCAAAAGTTTTGGGTCTCGGATGCAGCGGTGCGAGGGGCTCGCAGGCGGGGTGACCGAGGAGAAGGCGCCCACGATTCCAAATGCTCGCATCCCATTGCAATTCCAAGATTCCAAGTCACCGACGGTCCAACATTCGTGCAATGTTTTCATACTTTCCTGCGCATGAGCGCCCACGCCCCACAACCGAGACGCTGTAAACCCCAACCCAACAAACCCATCTGACCCATGATACCAACAAAGTGCGTGTTCAACATTCCGTGTCATTTTGCACCACTCGTAAAAATACTTTACCACAGTTTGCCTAGCTTCCCTGTCACATCCGCCATTATCGTACACTACACTAGTCATTGCGATACGAACGCGTACCATTGTATACTAGGACCGGCCACAATGCTTGGTGTCCTATACTCTCGCGTCCCAGTAACGGCTGGTGAATACGACTGATATACATATAATATACATAAATACATGGCACTACATACTACAACCTTGGTGGCAGACTAGTGCCGTCTGAAGTCGTGACCACTGCTGTATCTGCACTGCTAGTTTGGTCGTACACGTTGAGGCTGATGTGCTTTGTATGGGGGGGGGCGAGAATTCCTGCCAGATTCCGGCCACCTTATCATTCACGTCCTTCCAGGCTCTTGACTCTTGGCTGTTGACAACTAGCACTACCCATCACTGTTCTGCTGGAGATCTATTGTCGTACCCGGCCTCGTTTCTAAAGACATTATTCGAATCCTTCTCCTCCTGGCGGTGCTCCCGTTAAAAAGCGAGTTTGCGAAACCACGAGAGAAAATTATGCAGTAGTTTTCACATTTTCTGTGTTTTTAGTGTGCTGCTCGGTTTCCACCCGTACTGGACCTGCAAGAGTAGAAGAGGCTCGTATCTCTGTAGCTGGCTGGGAAACCGCTACAGCGTCCTAACAAACACGAAGTATCATTCTGTGTTGCTGCCTCTCCAGAGCGTATCCGAGGTAGCAGGGGCATGATGAGGTGCGTCCAGACAAGCTTCAACTTGACCTATCGGGACTGGAACGGGATCAGCATGGGCAGGGAAATTTCTGCATGTGGAAATGTTTTCCCGTGCGCGCCTTGTTGGGCCCCTTCGCCGCATGAAAGAAGTTCTCGTACAAGCGGAGGCGGTCAGGGTGCTGAGTGCCAAACAAAAGCAGAGCGGTATGTCCTATCTTTCTTTATTTTGCTGTGCGGCGTGACATGATGTGACATGAGGTCCGTGAGTCTGCGTCCCGCGGGCAATATCTCTCTCCCACTCTCTCGGCTTCTTCTCAGCCTCGAGATATGTGCTCAGTTTGTCGCTCCTCTCTTTCATCTCGTCTGGGAAGTCTTTCGGAATAAGGCTCTAGCTACGGGATGTGAAGATGCAGCCTAACATGGCTCGAGTGACACGCTATTTAAGCCCATGTCTACTTTGTCTCGCGATGGCTCGCAGATGGAAGTGAAGGAGGACAGAAACCAGATCCGCTGACACAGCTACACACATGTAACCATTGGCGTGGCCGCAACTGATTGCAACCATTGCCAAAACTTGCACCGTTAACTATGCGCCACTAAGCTGTTTGCCCCGGGTGTTTCAACTGCCTGTTCCCCACTTCGACGAAACTTGCTGCTGCAGGCTGCTTTAGTTATGGTTTTTAAATGGGGACCTCCGGCTGTGCAGAGTTGCGTAGATGCACCCGAGGCCCTCATGATCGGGCGTGGAAGAGACATATTCGGCGTCCGGTGGGAATGCAAAGTTCTGCCATTATGATGCCTGTCGTCCTTCGGTCAGCCGGTCAGCGCTGAGCATGGTGTCCTGGTTCCCTTAGCACAGCCTGGCGTCGATGTCCTCCCTGTGTCCAAGTCTGGCAATCCAGGCACAAGTTGGAGAAATACCGTGCACGAGTGCACAAGGCCCTGGGGAGGGTGAAGGCCCCATCGGGAGTTCCAGGCCAAGCGGCCTAAACAAACCTTCTTCGTCTTCGTCTAGAAGCTGCCGTCTCGGCTCATACGGTCGCTGCCCGATAAGTCAGTCATGTCTCAGGCGACTCCTTTTACCCACACGCACATGCTGACAGCAGCTACTTACAATCTCGATCCTCTTGTGCATAAGCAAGCAAATCCGTCGAACTTGTCAGGTTGGCAGGTTCTGAGTGAACTATTTAACCTGTCGGGATTTGTTCCCTGTCATGACAACTCCCACTTCGCACACGGTCAGTTCAGCTGCAAGGTGCCTCCCAAAGGTCAACTCGTGACTATGCGACAAGTTCCGCTCCGTTTATGAGTCTATGGCAGCTCTCGGCTCTTTCTTCTCCCCCACTGGTCTGTTCTGATGCTGCCTGGTGGACTCCCGGCAGCATCAGCAGCTCCTGCAGGAAGAACTTTGAAAGCAGTGCTGTCCTCGTCCCTGCGTGAGATCCGCTGTCAGTGAGCCTCAATCTTCTGCAGCGGCGTCATTTGCTCATCCTTGAGAATGGGGATTATGCCTGCAAGAACCAAGCACCAGTTTCAAACACCCAACAAAGCCTACTGAAAATCTCATGCATCTTGATGGCTCTGAAACAAGAATTCTCTATTGCACTGAGCTGAGCATCAGGCGCTTTGAGAAATCGACCCCTTCACTGGGTTGGACCAGGCCAAGCGCCTTAAGCGCGGTTCGGTTGCACTCGGTGCCTTCATAGCGAGGCTGATCGGTGAAGCTGCGCAGGAAAGCACGGATCCTGAGAGGTTCACTGCGTCGTTCAGCTCTGTAGCCTACCGCAATTGGAGCTGACGAGCTGATGTCTGATGTGTTCCGTATTGCTTCCCTACCTTTTGTGGCAGCTTCGTGACCATGTACGGCGTGAAACCTCCGCTGCCTGACACTGACACGAAGCACCAACTGCACAGGTCGAACTGTGAAAGCTCAACACCCTGAGAGGAGAGTCCACGGATGCTGGCGCTGCAGCTAGGAAACCAATCAGCGGAGGAGCATATCTGTTGAGGATGTTGTGCCTGTTTTCTCAGAACATCTGGCCCTTACGTTTTGTGCTGTCCTTCCAAGCCTTGCCTGGAGGAGTGACGCTACCTCATGACTTTGCCTTTCTTGCTTGAAATATCGACGCCTTCGCCCTGAATCAAGGATTAAAAATCTAGATTCTAGGGGCTGCGCCCACGGGCGGGCTGCGCAGGTAGCAGCCCGGAGCAAGGCCAGCACCCCCCCTTCGCCGAACCCCGCTGATGCGGATGATGCGCGCCCTTCGGGGGGCTTCCTGCAACCCGTTCCGGATGCATTCCTGGGGTCGTTCACGGGTGCCCCAAAATCCGCCATACCGTGGAGAAGGGTCGCAAAAACGCCTGCGTTGCTGGGGTGAGCCTCCAAACCGAGGTCCCGCACGGCCCGGTGGAAAAACGGCGGCCCGGCCACCCCATTGCTGAAGCAAGGCTTGCAAGCTACAGCTCGCCTGAGGCGAGGCACCCACAAACCGCCGAGCGCTGCCCGATTCTAGAGGGATCATTTTGCAGGCATGGCCCTCATGCACTGTGAGATGCTGAGAGACCTACGGCCTCAACTCAGAATGATGGGATCCCAGTTGCCTCTCCTCCCCGAGTGTGCCGAGTGTGATGTGTTGCGGCAGCGAGGGCGAGGCGCCGAGAAAAAGGGTGGTGCGGACGGGGCTGGGGGGATAGCGTTGAGCGGTGGACGGGGTTATAGTGACCCGAGAATGGGGATCACACATGGCTAACTTCGAAGCCAGCCTCGGTAGGCACCTCAGGGCTTGGAGGGCAGTCACTCAAAGGCTACATCGGGCTGGACACGCTCCGACACACAGCTCAAGCATTATGCAGCCCGCGAAGACTATCTATATTGTTTTTTCTCTGCATGGGGATGCATTTGAGAACTGAAAGTCTGAAAGGCCGAGCAATCACCCGGCAGCAGCATACCAGATGGAAGGGTGGCCTCGAATGTAAAGGTTGGCACCGCCATGGAGCAGCTCCTACCATTTCAGGCGATCTTTCTCTGAGTGTCCTAGACTTGAAAACTTGAAAACGGCCAATGCACAAACTGAAACCTGTGGTGCTACAGTCTGCGAGCTAGCCCGGCCTGATTAATGCCAGTGCAAAAACTCACTTTACTCACGATGACCTGGATACTCTGTTGCACAATTGCACGAAGTTCAGCGAAAAAGCTTGTCCCTACAACGTTCGCTGACCTTTTTAGTACAGTTGATTATTCTGCCTAACATGGCCTTTTAAGCTCGTGCTTTGGGCGCCTCATACTAGCTGCAGCACCTTCAAACTGTCCGAGGTGTGTGCAGAAGGCTGACGCACGTGCACAACTCTAGAGAATACCGCTCTTGTCGCGATGGCATTCTATGGCATTCTAACGTGGAGAATTGGGGAGTTGGTAATGGATGGTCAACCAAAAAACTGCATGCACCGCCATGCGTCGCTGCTGTAACTGAGGTTTTTTATCTGAAGCACCATTTTGCACCTGCACTGACCTGCGCCTGGCTTTATCCCCACAGCTCTCCTTCACCATGCCTGAATTTCCATTGAAACAGGCGTGGTGCAGGGGAGTCCATCCATCAACGTCCTGCAATGAAGGCTCTTCAAAAACAGAGGAAAACAGGGATGCAACATGCCCGTACAACAGCCCAGCGATACCTGCCCAAAAAAGATGCGCGCTCATGCAAGGATTGGCCAAAGACAGTCACGTGCTGTGCCAGGCCTTGACGTCAGGATCGGCGCCGTTGCTGATCAAGAGCTTGGCTATTTCTGGGAGGTCCTTCACAGTTTGCAATCTGCAATGAGTCACATTTGCTCGTGCAGGTCGTCTAAGATACACGCTCGGGTACGGGTATAAGCCCCTTCGATGCAAGATGCCTTCCGGGCTGCCACATGAAGCGCCGCTCGCCCCCGCGCATTCCTGCCTTAGAATACCGTTCAGCTATTCACATCTATGGGCCCTGGAGATTCGAAGGTCAGCAAGCGCCGCATCTTGCTCGACCAATGACAGATCCATTGGGTTCCCAAGGCTCAAACAAATCACCCAGTGGCCGACGCATGTTCGCGACCCGAGGCTTGACGATCATAGCATTGCCATATCAGAGCCGATGAAACCATGCTATACTATGCTGTCCCTCGATGGCGGGTTAGCAGCGGTTAGCACTGCCGGACAGCGGTCAAGAGCCTTCAAAAGAAGATGCGAAGATACAGTTACGTTTCCGGTACATCCAGCACCACAGCATCAGGCTCTTCGTTGGCTGTCCCCTGACGGTGGGTGCGATCTTCCGAGAGTTCAACTAGCTAGTCAAGCGCTTGCAATTTGCAGCTTGGTCCAACAGGACCTACCTAACGGCAGACATGGTACTCCTTGTACTCTTGCTGCAATCAGCTTCAGACTCGCTCTGGGGGCCGGGCCCTGCATCTGCAGCTTCAGGCCTCTCAGAGGATCCTGAATGCGAATGAGGGCCTTAGTGCGAGCGCTCCATGAACTTGGGCAGTCTTGCTCTGTCTTGCAGGGCACCTCGACACACTCCTTCCGATCATAGAAAACCGCCATCGTCAAAGCAGTCCAACCATTCAGCGCCTTCCGGGATCCAGCTCGGCAGGGGCTTCAGAAGGCTTCAGGCCATCTCAGGCATTCGCCTTGTAGTTCAGGTCAGCACCTGGGCGCGCCACCAAAGCAGAAAGACATGGATTTCTGCACATGGAGCTACGAGTATCGACCATTCACGGGAAGTTTGTACATTGGCAGGAGGCCCGATAGCGTCGTGTTGCACTACGACTAAGAGATTTCTCGAGTCCAGGAAGAAGTGGATTCGTTCTCGCAATTCCGCGCTGAGCCTGGCACGTTTGGCAATCATCTGCTTGACTTGAGTACCAGACCACTGGTGCATCTGCTTAACCAAATCCTGACCGCTGCAGCTGGCGTCAGCTGGCTAAGTCTCATCGTAAAGTACTGCCGCACGAACAGTGCCCACAGTGCATTTCTCCTCCCCGAGTTGTTGCCTCGCTTCTGGGGAGTTCTCCTCGAAGGCAACACCCTGGCACGGAGGATCCAAGAGAACAACTCGATCTTTTCCGTGCCATCCGAAGGACCTCCACTGGGGGGCTCCAGTCGGGCCTGCATCAGAAACAATTGCATAATAAGCACGAAGGACAACTTGAAAAATGATCACAACTTCAACAAATGCAGTCAACCCACAAGAAGGCAAGTGCCAAATAGGCATCCCTCTAATTCTCGTGACGACACGCCGAAGACAGCGAGAAGAGGCGAGTAGAGATTTGAGATGCGCACAATGCAAGACACACACCCGTGACATTCCACATGTACAGCATCAGTCTGAGATCCCAGCTGCAAGAAGACATTCAGCACGTCCATGTGTCGCGCACGTGCTGCGCGGAAGATGGGGCAATCGAAGTCCTACTTGCAAACCGCTGCCGGCAGCCACACAACAACAGAAACACTACCAGTGCGTGTCCTTGTTGTGGCGCAGCGGGTCACAGCGAGCAACGAGAAGTTGCTTGGCCTTGCTTGCAGTTCATGTGGAAGAGCATACATGCGCACCAAATGCAACTTGAAAAATCGAAGTCTCAAGCAAGCACCCACTGCGGCGAAGGGCCGTGGCTTCTCAGCCGAGACGCAGGCGGCGGCACCACATCCCACCGTCCCCTCGTATGGCCCTTGAAGATGATGCTGACTCTCAGCATGCGATACCGGCCGTCCGCTGAGGAACGGCTCTGGCGATTTTGATGGAGCTCGATGTACAGCTCGATGCTGCAAAATACAGCAAGCATCTTTGACAATCTGCGATACGAGGCTTGGAGAACCGAGACGCGAGGGAGAGCATTCCGGCCAAAGCAGGTGTGCAACCGTGGCCAAAGGCCTCGACAGAACGCAGAGCCATGCTGCAGCCTCGACATGAAATCATCATGAGCAAGAAGGGAGATCCGCGCCCTCGTGACAGGGGCCAAAGGAGGAGTGACAATGTCGACCCCGCAGCCGATCGCGAAGGCAGCGCGGAGAGCGGGGCCGCCAGATTACATCGGGGCAAGAAATGGAACTGTCAGAACCCTGCAGCCAAGGAAGCTCTATCATGTTTGGAGGTGCGAGAGACTGCGCATGTAGAGGATCAGGATGAGTTGTAGCCGTTAGCCAGCGGCTAGGCGGAACTGGCATCAAGAAGCCGGAACTCCAGACAGAATTCCGGGATATTCCAACATCCACGGAGAAGTGCCTTTAGGATGTGTGAAACCATGTAGGTCAGCCAGTGGTCGCTGTGGTGACCGGCGAGAAATGCACCTGAGGCCTCGACGGGCATGCAGTAGTTGCCGCCCGTGCCGTAGACAAAAACACTTCATGGGTGCCGCCTGATGCCGTCGACATCGTAGTGTCGCCGTAGCACCCGTGCTTGTGTTATTTAGCGTGTGATTTTCGTATCGGTCGGAACTGTGCTTCAGGAGAGCGGCTCGAATCATTGAAAGGCCGCAGTTCCTTTGATAGCCCAAGGAATCCTGGCCAGCGCCGCACCACTTGCTGCGAAACTAACTGCAGCAGTCAGTCCCTTCAGCCGAAACCAGGCGCCGTCGCCAGCATGCTCACAGGCGCGGTGGAATGCCGGGATAAGCAAAGGCTTTGCACCAGTTCCTCAGATTCTCCATTGTATTCCGCGGAAGCCTGGGCCAATTTCAGGAACGAAAGGTGCTCGCGCAATGCTCATGATGCTAGGGGGGGGGTGACCCCTCAGCAGCGGTCGTGGCAGCGTGGCCGGCCGGTGGTAAGGTCTCAAAAATCCAAGGGCCGTTAGTCATGCGTCCTTGCTGGCGCATGGCTTGGGCACATCCTAGTTGGCGGACATATGGTTGGGCAGAATACGATCAACAAGGAAACACATCGAAGCCTCTAAGTAAGATTTCACCGCTGCAACTAGAATGTGTTTGGGATTGTTAGCTTTATGGGCAAGCCTGTTTTCGCAACGCTTTGACCAACCCAGACAATGCGTCGACGTCTGTGTCACGGCTCCGCCTTTCCCTGGCCGCATCTGTAGGAGCGTAAACCCTGTTTACTGTTCCATCTTCGGGACCGCCGTGCAAGTAGACCGGCTTTCCTTTCTGCTACAAGTACAAGAGAAGCCGAACGACAGCCCCGACCGTTGCAGCCAGGACCTTGCAAAAGAAACCACAGGGTTTCGCCCCCGCGCAGATGCATGGATAACCCGCAAAGGCTGGTGCACATATCTGCTGTCTAACACGGCTTGGTGTCGCACGAAGCTGGCCTCCATCTTTCCGCACATATGCAGCCTGAGGCGAAATGCTTGGACATGGATGAGCTCGTCCCAACTAATCCATGTCGCAAATCCAGCAACTCGACACGCTATCCTGGAACGCGCGCAAGAGTTACGAGCCATGGAAAAGTTTAAACCTGTAATTACTGAGCTTCACATAGGCCTTGCACCCGGTCACTAGCCCCTGTGCCTGCCAAGGGGGGTTCCTCAGAGCAGGGTTGGGGGCAGGTTCACGCCAAAGCGAGCTAAAGTAGGGTCTGCTTGGCACAGAGAAGGTTCATAATCCTCTAGACTCCAGGGTAGTGGATCCTGGGATTACGTTTAGCTTCTTGCTATGACATGTATCACTGTGAAAAGAACTTCATCAGAGGGTCCAGGCCAGCACTCAAAAGTGATAGAGACAACTGCAAAGCAAATCCACAATCGACGAGTATTCGGAGCACGAAAACTGAATTTGTTTGAGCTGGTTGTTCAGCGGCGTCACAACACATCCGAGGACTTCGGATTGAAATTGAAGTGCTTGAATTATTCCCCAACAGTGGATACGCTTATGGGGTCTACAATCTGTAACGCAAAGGCGCGGTGACCAAGGTTCGGATTACCGGCTTCCGAAAGCGT